TTGATTGCTCACTGAAATATATTAAGAAAATATAACCCTGAGGGTCTGTGCAGTGGCACATAACTTTATTCAACCCAACATATGCATGCTTGACAGGACTGCCCTGGATTGGATTATGACAACAGCATCTGTACCTACACTCAGCTCAAATCTCTTCCTGCATGAGCTTGTCTGTGCATTTTAAGACACACAGCAAGATCAGCTGAATGTTTCCCCCCCTCCCCAGGTCCATTCACTCAGATGGTGTGGTAATTAGGTCACTGAGAAAAAACAAAGATATAGAAACTGGATTGCGTGCTCACCAACCAGCTCCTGCATGTAATTGCTGTATTTTAGTTTAATTTGTCTTAGGATGTTTTCTGATGTCTCTGAGAATGTTACCTATAAAAAGGCAGACTGCACGTCAAGAAGGCGAGTCAGTGAGCACATGAGTATTTTGAGCTGCAGAGTGCAGCATTCGGTATTTGTCACTGCAGAAACAAGGCATGTGACTTCTCTCTCACATGGCAGCTCCTTGGTTTATGCTTTACTGATTGGAAAAGAGAAAAAGTGTCCTGCAGGATCACTTTTGAAGAAAGAGCAAGGCACTGGAACGATACACAGTGCTAATGTTTTGCTGCAGAATGATCCCTCCTCTTATCCCATTAGAAAGCTCTGTGTGTTGGAAGAGAATGGACTTGCTGAAGGCAGAGATGAGTTGCTACAATCTCTCTGAGAAATAAAATTAAAGTGTTCTGTCATAAGTGTGGCTGCAGTAGTTATGCTGACAAGCAGGCATATTTAATCTGCTCCTGGGTGGAGCTGGATATATTTTGTCTGTGAAAGCATGAGATGTTTAAGCATATAGGTAGGGTTGAGTGCATCTCCTTGTTGGTACAATTTTAAAGGGAGATGAAGGACTGTTGGAGCACTTCAGGGTATTGCTACTTGGCAGGAACATACATACTCCAAGGCAAACAGATTTGCTCAATATTTTTGAGTCTCTGAGCTCAGCTGGTTCTGGCAGGGATGACATGACTTCATCCAGTGCGGCAGTAGTGGGAGAGATCATTCCAACTTTCCCTTTATTTGGGTAGCACAACACCAGTAACTTCTTCCCAGAGCTGGAAGGAGGCTCCTCATGTTACACACTGTGTATCACACTGTGACTCACATCCCTCCATAGTCCCTAGGGCAGGTCTAACCGTAGTACAAAATAGTATTGCCTCTGATACAGCACAAGCACTTTGGACTCTGTGGGATAACAAATAATAATAACTAAAATAGTTTTGCCATAAATGCTAATCATGCCTTATAGGATTGCACTGAATTTGTCATTAGCCAGTAGATATTAAATTCAGAAATACTAACTTTCCCAAACCCTTAGAGAGTTTAGAGTTCTTTGTAAACATGTAATGCTCCCTCTAAACATACAGTTTATTTCCCAATACAATTCCTTAATTATTCTGTAGTTAAGGCTGAAAGGTCTCATAATTTATCTGAGTCAGAAATGCCCTTGAGATGAGTAAATTCTGGAAATTGAGGCAAAGGTTCTGCTGTGCAGGTGAAACCAAGCTGCAGCAAAGTCTGCAGGCTCTTTTGTGTGTGTGTGTTTGTGGCCATACAGACAACTGTAGCTTGGCAAGTTTCACTAACCCTCTTTTTTTTTTCTGGTCTTTTGATCTTTATTGTTGCACTCCCTTATGTTTTCCTGAAGTTGAATCTACTCCTGCCCACTTTCATCTCACTACCTCTCTCTTCTTTTGCAGTCTTCTGCAACTAGACCATATTGCCTTTGTAAAGTATTCTCTGCCTGATGCATGCTTATAGTGCTAACTGATGATATCCTGAGCTTATGAACTTACCATTTATATTGAGCATGAGTCTCTGTTATGTGCAAAACTGAGCTGGAGGCTGATTCCCATTTCAGTCTCCTTCCTGACCCAGCAGTAATAGATGATACAAACCAAGTAAGGAATGGAACTTTTATGCCAATCTATTTGTCAGCCATAAATACGCAATATATCAGTAAAATTTTCAGAAGTGAACAGCAACATATTTCTGAATCACAGTATCTCCAAAATATATAGATGTTTGGAGTTCTCCACTGTTTTTGTTGTCAGCCAAGAGCTGGGATGTGATATTTATCTTGGCTCAATCAACATTTGGCAAAAGAGGTTAATAACAAAACTGGGTATAAAATGGGAAGTTTTTAACAGAGGATGGAAGTATGTTTCCATAGATACTGAAAAAAATATGAATAATTTAAACTGTTGAGCATAAATAAGGAAAAATTATTTTAAAACCTGTATTTTCAGAAATTCAGAAATATGTATTTTAATTACTTCAAAACATCAAATCTTTAAAAGTATATCTGCTGCTCAGTGGTGAAGTCCAAAGCTAACTGCACATACAGGTATAGCATTATTTTCATCAAGGCTGAAGGATGAGGAGAGACCTGAAACATCATCTGAATGTAGTGATGAAATATATCTGGCACTGAGAATTTCAATTTGTTGAAGAGTGATGTTTTATAGCATTACAGGCCTAATTGGCTTTAACGTCTTCAATGAAAATGAGGAGGTAACAGCAGTATTACGTTTTTGCTGCTCCTGGGAATTAGAGGGAAACAGAAATACAGCTTCAAGGGTCTTTGGCTCTCCCTTGTAAGGCAGGGTAGGGCCACGGGCTCTGCCTACTTTAGTCTCACTCAGAGCACACAGGTAGGAAGCAGGTGAGAGGATGTGGGGTCAGTCAATAGGCTTGAGCCAACACCATTGGTGAAATAAGCTTTTGCCCCTAAAGAGAAATTACATCTGGGAGGAAAAGAAGTTATTGTGTGCCTACTGTAGTTCCTCCCTTGGGTTCCCTCAAGAGCAGCATGGCTTATTCTGTCTCATTGGGAGATTAGCTCTGAAACAGAATCCTGGCTTTAGTTGGCCTTTAGTTTCATGTATTTATGAATATTATTCTGTTTTACATGAAATTTGCTTTTTGTTGGATGATTTCACAACCTAGCAAGAAGACACTATCCAACAACACTAGTCAAACACCCTCTTTAAAAAAATGGAGGTCCGTGAGTGACCTGAAATAAATGTAAAGTGCTTGCCTAGAAGATATTTAGCAACAGCTGTGTAGCATTGGAGTTCAGACAAACAATAGAAAAGTGATGACATTTTAAACTTGGTCTCAGTCCAAAGCATTGCTGTTCTGCAAACAGATCTTCAGTCATTCTCTGTTACCAGTAATAGCAACAAAGCTCTGCAGTGTGTTTGGGCAGGGTACGAATTAGCAGAGAACCTGACCTTAGTTTTTTCACTTAGAAATGGAGAAGTTATTCTCACAAGAGCATTCTCTGTTCACCCCCCTTCTTATGTGGGTGTAAGTAGGGGCCTGGACATAAATACCCAATATCTCTTTAAGCCCTACTCTGACCAAGCTGTGATGTGATTTTGTGATAAAAAGTTGTGATTTCCCCATTGCACACTTGCAAAGCTAAGTGTAAACCTAGCCTAACCATTAAAAATCAAGAGCCAACCACTTAAATGTTCTGAAATATATCTATTAAAAATAGTATAAGAATTTTTATAATGGCCTTCTACTTTTTAGCATGTAAATTGAGATTTTGCTTGCCACAGCAACTAGAAGCCTTTTTTTAAGGTATTCTCCTGCAAATAGGAAAACAATAAAGACATTTATATTTGCATGTGTTCCAAGAAACTGTAAAAAGGAGGAGGAAAAAAACTGAAACTTTAGGTCTAAGGCATGATTTAAATGCTAACCATTAAATTTAGCTTTTCTGTTCACCCTTCTTTCACAAAATCTGCTACTTCTTAGGCCAGCAGTCCCTATAGACTGGCTGTGATATTCTGATCCCCAGGTAATGTGTGCCATCATGTAAACTGACATAAATATGGGAAAGAAAAGAACAAAATACTCTGTGCAAGCAGGTAGGAAGGCTGGTAAGAGGTGAAGAAAAGCTGCATTGTTAGCGCTGTAGCTGGGAGAAAGGAAATGGTCAGGGCTGTGGCTCCTGGCTGCTGCTGCTGCCTGGGAAACGTGTGTCACCTCCACACAGCGGCACAAGCTGCTGCCGGGAGGACACGGGCTGCTCTGTATCCCTGCTCCACTTGCTGCTGTCGTCCACGAGGTGCCATTGTCACAAACAGGAGTGCTCACAAGATGCTGTTGTCTGCATTGTCGTCTCCTCCCCCATCCAAACAAAAAAAGATTCCCAGCTCTGGTATGCATCAGTGAGATTATAATTGTGGTGGTTTCTTTTCTAAGGCTGTAAGATTTCAGGATGATCCAACAGGGTATTTACTGGATTTGAGAGGTGTTGTTCAAGGGGGAATTCCAGCTCTGCTGCAAATCCAACAGTTTATGGTGTCCTGAGTTGACCACTGCTAATGTTACCTCAGATCTGAAACATTTTGCTTCAGGAGCACAGCAGCCTATTCCTTTCATAGGAATGGTTTCATCTATTGCTTGCTGTTAGCTTAATGACCTTTTTTTACTTGAACTGTCCCTTCTGCCAGATTTTTATTTTGTTTTTTGTAGCTTCCCATGAGGTTTGACCACGAGCTGAGTGTGTAAGTGACTAAACAAGAAGAAAAATCCTCCAGAGATCTTAGCTGAGCAATGCCATTTAAGTAATAGAAACAACTGTGTTTGGTGAGCCAATTACACAGGGCAAACATCTGAAGGACAGAATGCCAAATACTTGTTTCTAAACCTAAGGCTTTATCAGCAGCACAGTTACAGAAATAAGAGGATGCCTCTCTGAGCCTCACAGACTACCTGCATCTCTGTATTAATTCAAAGCACTGCTGGTTGGATTTTGTGAGTGTTGTAGGACTAATCCCTATGGTGACTTGATTATGAGCATGTGCAGAGCAGCCAAAGATAGACTCTCGCATGTAGAGCTAACACAGAGGCTTGCCTTGCAATGCCACGTTTGTGCATATGTTCCCACAACTGAGAAGGATACAGGGAGCCTGCCTGCCTTGCTTAATTATCTGATGTTTTCTTGTTTCTGTTTCAGCATTCAGGATAGCTCCTTCAACACGACAGCTTCAGCAAAGTAAGTGAACACTTTAAAGATGTCCTTATTTTTTAATAAGAATGACGTGCTTAGTACTATAGAGAATAATTTTAAGTAACATGTGTGAAGTCCCAAGCTACCTATCATATATTTTGATTTGGTTTTCTGTAAACTAAGTATATTTTTGATTGTGTGGGGAGGATTGCATGAAAGAGATACCTTTACATTCTCTGGGACCACCTAGATGTGACATACCTTTCCGTGAGAATATTTATTTGATGCACGTTACACATGTTTAAATGCATGATTTTCAGTGTAGGATAAATCTGTGAAAATATTGCTCATTTTTGGTACTGGAAATCTCGACAAACACAAGTGTGTCAGTTTTGTAAGAACACATGGTCTGTGTTTCCTGCAAGCATTATTAGAAAAAAAAAAAAAGGAAGTATTTTGAAAAAAATGACCATACATTATTTAGACAGGCCTAGTACCAAATGCATAATTTCTTTGTAATCAATTTAATAAACTCATTAGAAGGCCTTTCATATACATCATTATCATAAGAACATATATGTTGTTGTTTTGTTGGTGAGGTTTTACAGAGACAACAGAACAGGATAAGGGAGAATTAAAAAGTTAGAAAGGCATAGGCCTTAGGAACTATTAGAAATGAAGTAGTCTTTGTTTCCTATGAGCCTAAAACACTTCAGTTTTGGTGCTCCTGTGTTGTAATTATTTTGTATACTTTTGATTGCTTCAAAATCTTTAGGTAAGATTCTTCAGCAGTAATATGACAAGCAGTTTTTCAGCAAGGAAATTATTTTAGATTTGTTTGTACCTTAGGTGAGTTTTGTACTGCAAAAATGCTCATAATTAAAAAGAACCAAAAAACAACACCTTCACTGAAAAGTGAGCTATTTGCCAAAGTGCTGTGGGGACGGGATACATTCTGAAAGCAGGCCAAGCTGCAGTCTTCTGAGCCATCCCTAAGTAATGTCAAAATCACTACAAGAAAAGTAACACTTCATAGGAATCCTATAATTTCCCTCTCATACATTGCTTTGCTTTATTTGCTTACATAGCCTGGCTTAATTCCGTATTTTAACTTAGTCACTATTTTTGTGTTGTGGTGGCACATATGGAAAGATTTAACAGAAGCTAATATATCACTAAGAACTTTTTAATTTTCTTGTGTCTGTATTAGTTAAGCAGCAAATTTTTATCTGTAAAATTCAAGGGTGTTTCTCTTTTACAGAAGAATAACCAGATTCTAGACAGTAGATTTTTCATATTTTTTGTTCCTTCCTTTTTCTCCGTCCCTAAGTACAGGCATTGTAGAGATTCCCTTGGAGCAACCCCTTTGTCTGCCTCACCTTAGAGGTTTCTGGGACATGAAAGTGATGGCCTTTCTCTGTGGTGTTTCATGTGACCATTAAGACAAGGCATAAAAGCTGACTGTGCAGTGCCAGTGCAGCCCCTGGGGAAAGGGAGGGGTGTGCAGAGGGTGCTGAGCTGAGGGGCAGCATCATGGCAGAGCTGGTGCTGGGCAAGGCTTTGCCTGGAGGGTGAATCTCCCTCATTTAAGCTCTTGTTGGTTTTCTTTCAGGGGCTTTAATTTGTAATCTCTTCCCAAACAGAAAAGTAGAAACAGGCTTTTAGAAAACAAGATAACAATGACATATGAAAAGCATTGTCCAAATGAACAAATCTGGTTTCCAGAGCTGATTTCCCTAAATCCTGTTTAGGTTCTCCCAACAAAGCCTGTCTTTGACAACTGCTGAGGATACACAATTCTTACTGATTTCAGCAGTAGTTGGTTGTGCTGGTGATATCTGAAAATAGATTACATTTATTTAGCAAAACAGAGAGCTTGCCATGCAACTTTAGACATCCTGGTTTGACAGTTTCTGTCTTCATTTGTGGCAAAGGCAAAATCTGGGCTGGTTGAATTATGTACAATCAGTGGTATGGTACTTTGAGGAACATTTCTCCAGACGAGGCAAGTGCCTGAGGCTGCTAAGCTTCCAGCAAGCCATGCATGCAGCCTGGTTTAGAAGCTGTTCATGTGAAAATCTTAAAGGTCAAGTCAGCAAAAGGGAGCACTTTTCAAGTTGTAATGAAATTGCTCCTAAGAAAAAGTGAAAATGGAAGAGGGTTAAAAAAACTAATCCCATTAAACCAGAGATCTCTGGAAGAAACAAAGAGGCAGTACTATAAAGAGTCAGAGCAGCAGTCCATCAAGACTAGGTTCCCATCTCTGACCTGGCTCTGGCCTGTGCCATAATGTCAGTAATGGATGTACTTACTTTTAAGAACATATCCATAAGACAGTAGTTAGATTGGGCACTGAAGGAAAAGGATTTACACCACTGGTTTTGTTAAAAGGTGTGCTTCCTACCCAATGTAAGATTTAAACCATATGGATTTATGACTTGAAGCTGTTCTGGCTTATTCTCTGATATTATAGGAATGAGTAAGACACTGCTCCAGTTTTCGGGTTGAGGGGTACTCTGGGTATTCTTTCTGCTGAATGGCCACAAGCTATCACAGAACTTAGTGAACTCTTGAATATCTGTCTGTTAAGTATAGATACACTTGGACAACAATATTTACAAGTTTACAATGAAAGGAGTGTGTGCATGCTTGTGTTGGTATGTGTAGATAGGTGGCATGAATGCATAAGTTGAATGTCTTAAAGATGCCAAGGTGAAAACACTCTCTGCTTTAATGATGGAAATTTGCATTATATAAGGAGTTAGTATTTTTAAAGGTCCTGCTATTATCTTAGCCTCAAGCACTGTCTTGTGTGAGTAAGTTTTCTTGGTTGATATTTATTCTTTCAAAGAGAAAAATTTCTATTAATAATTTGAGTGTTTTTCTTCTCAGCTTCCTTGCAATCTTCTTATTACATGATGGACATGGTCTTCCCTAATGTATTATTTCTTATCTTTCTTATCCACTGGTATCCAGTTATTCAAATGCACTTTGTCATGCTTGCTTATGTTTCTAAGTTCCGTTTTGTTTTATTAGTTCTATTAGTTGCTGGATGCTAACTCAGGATCTCTACTTCACGAGGTCATGTTATTACATCCAGCTCAGGGATTTGCCAGGGCACTTCCCCATACACAAGGATCCGCACATAGCCTTGGCTGATGAACCTGTGCTCAGTCACCATTTGTCCCTCCAGAGAGTGTTCTCCATTGCCAAAATGGTCATTCAGGACTGAAGATGGCCACATGTGGTGACTAGCGAGAGGAGGGGAAAGCTGGTAGCAGAACTGCTTTCTCCCACCTCCTCTTACTGTGGCACATGCAGGAGGGAGAGTTAATCCATTTAGAGGATTCCTGGCCTTTGCTGACTGTGGCAAGACTAGAGGAAGATAAACATGCCTGCCTGACTTCTTACCCTGCTCTCATATCTGTGCTGGGAGCTCTGTCCATCCATCTCTGACTGTCTCTTCACAGTCACAGTGTATTTTCTAGCTGTGTTTTCCTCCCTCTGAAATTTTCCATCATGTTTTCCACCCAGGTTCCTGGTTCCTTTCATATTGGGCTTCCCTCTTCATACCCCCAGAATGTCCTATCCTCACACCTTGCTGGTGTCACAGACACAAGAGATAATTAGTCATAAACCAGAGAGAAGGTCCTGGCTGGCTCCTGGAGGCAAAGGCAACTAGAGTTCTGCAATGAGTTTATCTATTTTGTGCATCAAATCTAGTCTTCCATCTGTCATCCCACTTTGTCTTGTGGGGAGAACTGCACCTGTTGCAAAAAATTGTGTGACTAAGTTGAGAACTGCAACTAATTATATGACACAGGTTTAAGCAGCAAATGCTTTCGTTCACCTGCTGATGTATTCAGGAAGTGTGAACACTTGAGTGTCCCTTCAAATATTTGCTGCTGCAGTCTGGCTTTTGATAAGGAAGACTGTTAGGTAAGAGGAATATATTAAAAACCTTGCCATCAAATTTCTGTGCAGAAAAACACCCTTAGCTAATTGTTTGTTTGTTTGTTTTGTTTTGTTTTTTTAATGTAAAGTATACTACAGGCAACTAAAACAGAGAATTTCCTGTTATTTTCCTGTAATGTTTATGGCAACATCTGAATTATTTGTCATCATCATTTCCATCTGGCTGAAAATTATATTCAAAATTGTGTTCAGTTAACATCTCAAATCCTCTTCTTCCTCTGAGTTTTAGACTACCATGGAGCAGTTGTAGTACTAGATGACCCCAGGTAAGGTGTGAGAAAGAGAAATGCTTTTATACTTTGAGCTCCTCTGTCATGTTATTAAAAGCTACATTTCTGCAACTGGTACAAAGTCAGCAAATATTCTATATCAATTTCCAAGTTGTGATGGGGATTCAGACTCTGTGAAGATCAAGCAGGCAGTTCCAGCCCCAGGTATTTTACTGCAAATTTTGTCCGAAATCCATTGCCAAAAAAGCTGTCAGAGTTCTTCTGTTAAATCACTAGGAAGAAATCTTTTTTTCTCAAAGGAATGCAGAATTTCTGGGGTATTACCTGTTAAGGCTATTAGTATTTCTGGGAAATGCATATTTGTCTTGTATATTTGCTTAAACAATGTTAAGATTAATTACCTCTGTTGCCAAGTAAATATATTGTGGTTTGTGTTCTTAACTTCACATCTCATTATTTTCATTCAAATGCAGCTCTGATGCTAATACATTGATTTTTACTGTACATTAGCTGCTAAAAAGTAGTAAGCAGAGTTTTGCAACTGTGCAAGGATATGGTTGTTGATGAATGTTGCTGTGAAAAAGAAAATCCATCACATTGTAATTTGACTGAAGTATTCTTGAGGGATGTCTCTCTCGTGGCTATGTGAGTATATGTTGATTGCTGGAGGATGCAACTTAACCTTCCAGAAAGATTTTAAAATCAGATAATACCTTAAAATTAGCACATTCTGTATGTTGCTGAAATGCCAGTAGGCTCTAAAGCACCTTACCCTGTAACTATAACAACTGTCTTGGACCCCACTTGCAGAAGGCATGGGCAGCAATGGTGTTTAACTCCACAGGCACCCTGCAAGCATCCATCTGGAGGCTGATGAGCCACAGATGGAAAGTGAGTTTGGCAACTCAGAATCCTTAGGGGAAAATATTGAATTAGCAAGTTACGCTTTCTAAAAAAAACATCTCAGGTTTAATTCAGTAGTCCTTGACTCCCTCCAATGTGGAAAGAGCTCATCTCTCAGCTAACCATTAGGATTTTACCAGCTGAAGCTAACATCTGAAATTCCACCTGCAAACTAAGCAGCAGCCAGGGATTTGGGAGCAGTAATGCTGATCTGCTCATCCTGCCAACTAAAGAGGAAGCCTTGCATTCTGCATTGTGGTAGCTTTCTTAATGGTCCCAAGGAGATGCTCCCAGTGGAAGGCATTAGACCAGTCCAAGTTTAGAATTACTAGGTGTAGATAAGACTAGCAAGGTCTTCTTAGGACCGATTGCACCCTGTAGGCTAGGTGAGATTGAAAATATCTGTCCCAGATTCAGTGGTTACCTAGGCATCTATGAGCAGCATTGTCTGTTTAAACAACCAGATGTGCTGTTATGCTGGAGAGTTTTTTCTCCAAACTGGGAGCACATTCTACTTGTCCCTTCCACCCAAATGTGTTAAACACAGCATATATGGCTGTTCAAACCCTAGTTTGTATGCCTACCTTCCTTGCTTTGTCCAAAAGCCCTGAAAATCAGAAACTGTCAGAAAGGAAGTATGACTATTGTATGTGACAATATTTTTGTGAGTTTATAACTTAGTGTGAATCACTGGAAGGGGAAAGGTCTTCTGTATTCAAGTCTCAAATTTTATTTGGGAATATTAACTCTAAAACTAGTGCCTCTGAACCTTGTCTTACTTAAATGGCTTCACAGTTGAATATGAACAGTAATTTTGCTTGTGATTTGACAATAAACAGTGACCTGTCAGACTCAAGTTACTAACATATGCAGTATTTGATGTGTAGACTACTCAACTTGGTAAAATTAAAATGCTATGAATAGCTAAGAACTTGTTGCTATTCATTCTTCATAATGTTTTGATAGGTGTCTGAAGTCCTGTCTGATGTTTTTCAATTTTATTTTCTTACAGAGTTGATGATAACAAAGAAAATTATCTGGACAATGCTACTGTTTTAGAGGAAAAGCAACTGTCTCTGCAAGATACTCGGCAGCACCAGCGGCAGGTTGTCATTGACAACACTCTAAAGCCTGAAATGGGCAACTTAAAGCTAAGAAAACCTAGGCCCATTGCAAAGCTAGAAAATGCAAAAAGCCATGAGGAAAGTCAGGTAAGGAACTAAACTTATCAAGGGTAAGACAGTACTTCATTAGACTTCTTCTGGTTTCTTTATTGACTGAGGATCTCTTGTGCTGGTGTTTTGTGTGCTAATAGAGATATTTTGAACTTTCACTTTACCTTTCTGTTTTTTCTTAACTTTAAATAATTAATCTATTCTAATACAGATTCTGTTATTAGTGCTCTGGCCCAAAGGGTTTCTTGAGTTGAGCTGAGTGGGGCAAAACTGTAACTTTTAAAAAGGCTATAAAAGAACACTAGAAATGAAGAAGCTTTTGTAGTTACCTGGGTGGTACTTTGCTATGCAAGCCCCAGAGTTATCATCTCTCAGCAGCTTTGGGAAGTGCCTCTGTTCTCCTCAGGTGCTTCCCAAGTCATGTTTCTTGTGCAGTGTAAGGAACAGAGCTCTGGTCCAGATTAACCCCTCAGCTAGAAATATTCTCATAATTGAGGTAGTTGATGTTGGTAAATTGTCAGCTTGTAATAGGCACAAAGCCCAAGAGATGTCTGTGTTTACACCTCTTCTTTGATGTATAAAGTATTTGGCTATTTTCTCTCTCCTTTTTTTTTTTTTTTAATAGAAATTTGCAGAGCACCTTCTGAAGTGCTTTGAACCTACTATTAATTTCTTCAAATTCAGAATGGGAATTCATTTTGGATGGCATGTCTTACTTTCTAAGTGAGGAATATCCTTTTGAATCCCAGGAGAAAAAGTAAAAGCAAATGGCATCCCAGTGGTATTATCGCAATCTCCTTCAGCATAGCACTGTCAACTCTTGCTCTAATCTTCTTCCATGTTTTTGCTGGAGTTCATCCCTGAGATGAATTAATAACTGCTGAGGTTTTTTGTAACTATTGCATTAATAGGAAATGTTATTTAGGCTGCAGGGTCATGAGGTGTCCATGTTTATCAGGAGGCAAGAAAGTTGATAGGAAATTTTGCCCTATAAAGAGCAAGTGGAGTCATATCAGGATGACGATTCATGAAGTAGTTTTAAACAGGGCAACATCTGTCCCAAAGATAATCTGTTGCTCTTTCAGCGACTTTGAGACTCCTGTCTGCCTGCTCCCTGGTATGTTGTGCCTCACCCAGTGAAAGCCAACACAGCACGGGTTTGCTGCTCTGTGGTATTTTACATTGTCTGGAGTGGTTAACTGAGAATGTTGATATTCTTTCATGGGAACATTTTTGAGTTTATAATTAGACTGCCATAAAATACCAGTGTAACTTAGATATTCAGCCTCTGGAAGGAAAAACAGTGTCAGGCAGATAATTGACTCAAGGGCTCGAATTAGGAAAGTCAAAGCAGTCCTGGGGTCCCACGCTACCCATTGCTCCCATCTCTGGCATGCTGGAAGAGATAAGATGTGTAGGCACTATTTTATCTCATCTACTGAGAGTAGAGAGTGTAGATCTTTGAGTATAAATAAAAACAGAAGCACAAAGAAAATGTCCTTTCATACAGTAACTTCCCCTGTTCATAAAGGGAATTGTATCCTGGTACTGTGAAAGAGTTTTCAGTGGATATCTTCTCTATTCAGTGAGTTCAGTGGTGCTTGCTGTAGAGGAAAGAGTTTGCCTCTTGGATGGTTTTTCAGAAAGATGCTGTTTTGGAGAAAGCATTACCAGGCCCTTCATTTTGTGTAGCCTTCCTTCTCATTGGTAAGGATGTGCTTGCTCCTGGACCCTGAGTGTTTGTCTTGCTGCATCTGTAGCTGCCTTAAGGGCTTTTGTTGTTAAAGAAGCAAGCATCTGACTCCTGGATTTGTCAACAGTGCCTATGGAAAGCAGAAGAGCCCCATGAAGGGTTTTGTTTTGTTTTGGGGTTCTCATTGGAAACCTTGATGTATTATCACCTCCTGTCGCGATCCGCGACCTATTATATCTCCTTTTTGGAGTGTATTTAGCTTGTCAGGATCTGCTGAGAGGTCCGCACGTGGCGATCGCCTCTCAGAGGATCAGTGAGCTTCGGCACTGAATTTTCGAGTGAGTAACTTGCTCACTGCTTACTAATATTTCCAATAGCAGCAGCCAATCCCCAATTAGAATTTACAAAATGCACGGTTTATTGTGGGGAAAACAAAGCAATTTGGGGGCAGGAGGTTCAAAAAAGGGTAATCAAAGCACATGAAATATCTTTTAAGCATCAAAATAACAAGAACTTATGTCTTAATACTTATATATGGGTACACCTTAGTTACACACCTTATTTACTTATTAATGAGGGAAGGAGGAGGAGGGATATGCCCGATGCAGGTCCCGTATAGGGTCGCAGTTTGTGTGCAAGTAAGCTGGATTAATCTCACCACGCTGCGGTGACGACAGGACGAGCTGGGTCAAGCCGGGTCTGGCTGGAGCAAAGCGGAACCAGGTGAGAGCCGGGGCTCGGGCTGCAGCCGGGGACCTCAGGCTGGTGAGCACTCCAAGCGCAGGTCACCCCCCCAAAGCAAACGGCAAAAGCGGTGGTGGCGGCACGTGGCTTAGCGGCAGCACACAGCTTCGGGACCGCGCCAAGCGGCAGGAGCGGCTTCGGGACTGCAGCAGCAGCTCGGCAGTTTCAGCGGCGGCAGGCACACGGCGGCAGGCACACAGTGGCAGCAGCAGGAAATGGCGGCTTTGGCAGGCAGTGTGAGCGGAACCATGTGCCGAACATGAGGGAGCGAGAGAGGCAAAAGCATCCATGCTGCCTCTTTTATAGGGTTTTTCTTTTGCTCCCAATTGGCCGGTTTTGTATTTCCAGGCTTTTCAGCCAGTCAGACTGAAAACTGCTTCCGGCCGGGACTCCTCCCCCGCAGCAGCTCCCCCCCCTCAGAGGGGGTTCAGCGCCACCTGGAGCCGCCAGCTTAAGTCAGGTGTGACTGCTGACCTAAGGGGCATTTCATGTTCATGTGAGGAAATACCTGGTCCTTCACACCTCCCAAACCCTGGTTCAGCTGTCTGTGTTCGTAGCCCTAGTCATGAGCTAGTAACAACTGCCTCTCTCCATTTTGAAGCTGGAAGCAAAGTGCTGCTGTGTTGTTTCTAGTAGCTGCTGTTTACAAATATATATATATATATGTATATATCCCTTTTAAAGGTGTTGCTGTGATAAACCAAGGAAATGTTTACTACTCACCCCTGTGTGTTATAGGCTGATGAGTTGCTTTTTCAGAAAATGTACACTCAGAATAGGCCACTGGGACGTGTATAATTTTGCTGCATGTTTTGGAAGGATTAAAGTCTCTTTGGATGCTTCTTTAGCAATTCTGCAGTGTTAATCTGCAGAAAATCAAATTAATTAGGGTTTATTTGACCTCAAGAGGTGAGGAAGCATATGCTCCTTTGGAGTCAGTGTGAGAACAGGTGGTGAGGAATGGAAAGTGGGCTTTCCTTGCCTAATGCTTTCTCCTGTCACTTGCTCCTAAATCACAGTCATGAATATAGATCATTAAATGACTCATCCTCAAATTCAATATTGATATATACTTACTAAAATTATACTGAACATGCTAGCCAATAGGTAGAGAAAGTAAAAAGTTCAGTTTTAAAGTCATATTATCAAGGTAAATGATTGAAAATTAAGTGGTGGCTTCACATTTAATGCCTAGAGATTGGAATGCTGAAATTTTGTATTTTAAGTATAAATTAAGTGGGAAAATTGCATGGCTTTCAAAGAACTTCCAGTACTTTGACGTTAAAACTGTGGTTTTAAAAGCACAGGAATTAAAAAAAAACGGAGCCCGTACTAAGACATTAACTACACAAACACAGTAATGTGTCAGGCAGTCTGCAAGTCTCACTTCAGTTTTTAGGTATACTCTGTTTATGTTTACACCATACCTCCCATCATGGATTAAATGTCTCCGATTCACTGTCCATTAAATGTACCTGCATGTTTTCATGTATGAAATGTCGTATTCTTGAGGGGTAGAAGGAATTTCTGCCAGGACTTCTGTCCTGGCTGTTTTCTCTATTGACACAGCACCATGAGATGTGACAGGGCTGTAGTCCCAAATGCTGGTACAATATTTGTGTGGTGCTCGTGTTTGAAGATAGAAGTGTTTGTGTGTTGAATAAAGCATACGAAGGGTACAAGGCACTTCCTGCAGTTCAACAGCAGATTAAGCTGCTGTGTAAACAGCAAAGGTTTGTATGCCTGTGCTCCAATTCAGATACTCTGACAAAGATGGGTTATGACATACTGTGATTTTTGAAAAGAAAACAGATTTTTTTAAAAAAATCAAGCTTGTGAAACAGAAGTGATTTCTGTCCACATGTGTGTCCATTATGTTAATTTTTGGCTGTTACCCAGATTTTTTTTTGGTGTACAAAGCAAATATCATGGCAGTGGCCATGCAGCACTGAGTCTTCTCAGCAATGCCTAGAGATTTCCCTCTTCACAGACTGGTTAGCAGATGCAGCCCCACTGTAGAAGTTTCACTCTCCGTTAAGAAGAAGAAATAAAAATACAACAGAAGAGAAAGCCCTATACTGTTGAATGCTTTGACACATCAGGAATGGATCTAATTGGTCTTAGGAAATACAGGTTCTATTAAGGGTGTTTCCTTAGCATCCTAACGACATAGCTTGTGAGCTACATCAACAGCAAAAAAAACCCAACAAACAAAAATACCAAGAAAAAAAGAAAAAGCAACCCAAACCCACCCACGTCCTCAAACACCAAGCCTGTGAGTGCTTATTACCAGGAAATTCTTGTCCTCCGTCTTCCTTTTCATCTAGCAGAAAGCATCTTGAATTGGCATGTTTTCTCTGCTAGTATTGGAGATTAATATTTGTTGCAGAAGAAGTTTACCACTTTAACACATTTGGTTTTGCACCTTAACTGACTGACTTTCTTTGGCTTGTTAACTTAAAAAGTATAACACTGTAAAGGCTTCAGCCACAAGGTACACTTGCTTAGCTTGAGATGTGCTTGTTTCACTCATGTACATAGTACCCAAAGTTTTCTTTTTGCCTGTATTAGCAGCTTTTCCAGCCAACTTCTGAAGCTAAGTGCATCTAAGTGTAAATGTTGCAGCTGTTGCAAAAGCTCTAGATATGGTTGTCAACTGATATAGGTGAATGACTGTTGCCTCTTTTGGTATTTTATTATATCCTGGAACTCCATGTTGTCATATGATGGCATAAAAAGCTAGAATTCAAGTCCCAACTAGAAATGTCCCCTAATGATGCTACTACAGTTGTAAGAAAGTCAGCTCCTGAACTCTAGTGTCCTGACCTCTTCTCTCTATCCCCCCAGTCTATATCCCTCAGATTTACAAATAATTCAGATTCCTAACTTCACTTCCAGAGTTTTTTCCAAGGTCTGACAAAGCATTCAACATTTTTTTTGGCTTCGTCCAGGAGCTGGAAAGTGCATTGCCAGGCCTCTCAGAGTGGCAACAGAAGGCTGGATCCTCAGCTAAGGACTCTACACAGAATGTGGCTTTAAAAAGCCAGGAAGCAATCGTGAGATGGCAACCAAGGTAAGCTTTAAGATAAGGCAGAGCACTTCACTTCTGATTAACTGAAAGGATAATTAATTTGCTGCCTTTTGTATAAAATATTCATATTCCTGGCTCTTATTGACAGTTTTAGTCTGTATTTATATGGCTAGAACCATTTGGAGAAAGTGGAAAGGACCAAGATGAGAATGCAGATTTCATCATTATTTAAGCCTTTTATATTTCAAGCAAGAGGAACATCCTCAGTTCAGAAACTTCAATTCTAAGTTTCAAAAATATCTTGGCACTTCTATTTTTTTTACTTTCTCCCAGTGCTGCTGAATTGCCTCACTCTTTCTCAGAGATGTATGCTCACTGAGAAATGAGAATGGGAAGCTGCATACATGATTTTAGCATGTGTATGCATTGATGTATAGTTTAGACCCTGGGTGCTGTGGCAACTGTGCTTGCTCCAGTGCTGTGAAGGGTGCAGGGTGTTCAAGTCAGGCATTAGCTGAGTCTTGTTGGCAGGTAAGGCAGCTGATAATGAAGAAATTCAGCTCTGGTAACTACTAGAAGTCACAATTCCTCCTCCAATCCTTCATGGCTGTGCAAAAGGCTGAAAACGGGGTTTCAACTTGCCCAACTGAGCTGATCTACTGGGGAAGGTGCATTCTAAGGATAAGATTTAGCTCTTACTGGCAGGCCTGGACTCTGAAAATGAGATCATGCTCTTCACAGCCATCAGTTTTGAGACACTGATCTGCAGATTTCCCATGCTCGGGTGCTGTTTGGTCCTTGTTGTGCATGTAGATTTTCAGGCAGGTTAACCAGGTCTCTGCTCTTTGTTCTCTGTTTCAGGGTGTGTAACAGCCTTGGTGCTGTGCGGCAGAAGCTCTGGCTCTCTTTGGAGGGATCAGAGGAGTAGCTATGCATCTCAGGAATGCTCAGTGGGTCATCAGGGCATGGCTATATGACATACAGAGCTCATTGCCTCTAAGGTCTGTTTCAAGTCAGAACTAGGTTAGTTAGTAGTGACAGTAGCCGTCCAATGGCTGCTTGATACTTTACATGAACTGGTTGCGTTCACCACAGTTTTAGTACACAATGTTATAAATGACATTAATTTCTGTTCTTGAAGGGAGCTTAGTAGAATGACCAAGCATTTAATTAGCTTTCCCAAAGAACTGCTTTCACCCTCCAGTGCTTGTATGTGCAATTGAAACTGCATCTCAGAAAGCTTCTAATTACCCCCAGCCTAGGAAGCCTGGCTTCTCTTTTTCTAGCATTCTTTATGCTAGGAAAAAAAATCTTGTAAAGGGGAGCATGGTGAGTTTGGTACCAGGGAGTTAGACTTACCTAGTGGCTCTGCTGGTAGGAGACCTGTGCATAGGTAGATAATGAAATAACATTGGTTAATTTTGATTGATGAAAGGCACAAAATGAAAGAAACATGGATTTTAAAGGTAAGAACTAGAGCAGAGTGTGAATGAATAGAACAGCAACAACAGCAAAGCTGTTCTGTCCACTTCAACAGTTTTGCCTTTTATGGTTGCCTGGTGTTAAACCATTGCTCACTATACTATTTATTCCCATTTAACACTGGTGTAGCTCCTAAGGAAGAATGCTATCCACAAAAAGTACACAAATCTGTTAAATAATAGTACCTGGTTTTACCATGCTACGAACTGTGGAAGCATAGTGATCAAATCTCAACTCTGGCCACATCTTAGTTTGATTACATTGCAGTAAAGCAGAAGCAACATTGCTCTCAAATAAGGAGCTTCAGACATGGAGTAAACAAGCCCTAATGCATGATTCCTGGCCTTACACACACACTTTATTTATTGTAACTGTCTTAACTGTCCTTGGAAGAAACATTCCCACCAACCAGCTGGGACAGGGGACTTTGAATTACATATGCTGAAACTATCACTTTCAGTTTGAGGGTCACTGTGTCTGGTGACCTCTTTTAAGGGTGACCAGCAGCTTGCCCCATCCCTCTGCTGTCAGTCAGCTTTGATAGGGCCAGAGCAGCTACGTGCACATGTCTGCTCATGCAGGTCACTGGCTGCTGCACCAGGGTCACAGAACTGGCTGTGAAACATACTGCCAGGTATGACATCTTGTTTTTCTGCCTTCCCTGCTCTGGGACATGGCAAAGGTTAAGTATTTAGCCTTGGCAGCAGGCAACAATCATAGCTAGATTTTGACAGAACACATCTGTCAGCCCCACAAATCTTGCGTTTCACTATTTTCCACTCTGGTTTTGCTAGGTTACTGGTAAAATTAGCAATGCTTTGGAACACTAGATCTGCTAGGATCCCGAACACAGAGACCAAAAGCTTTCTGGTCTTTTGGAGAGCAGGAGATGGCAGGGGTGCCACTGGGCAGGCTCTTTTGTCTACCAGATATGTGTGGGGAGGATAGAAGAAGTATTTATTTCTGTCTTGTACTAAGAAGCAAGGTTGATTATTTCTATTGTAGCTTGTTATTCTCACTTTAGTTTCTGCAGAATGCCATAGCTCTGTCATTAGTGTCATTGGAGTTTAATAGGCCTAAAATGCCTCTGAACTGCAGAGTTAAAAAAAATATTTTCTAGTGAATATGAGGCAGCTAAAATCAGAATAGTTTCAATTTGTCTAAATATGTATTAAAAACTACTGAGATCCGAAAAACTTTTTGGTACAGTCCCTGTTAAGCAGAGTAATCAAAATATAAGATAACCTGACATGGGATGTTCCTTAATAGATATGTGACAGAGAAGAGCAAAACAGGCAATATAAGAGAAACAATCTCAAGAAATATTACTTATATGTGTTGATTTTTTTGTTTATTTTTTTGTTTATTTTTTTGGATTGCTTTCATTTTAGAATAACCACTGAAACAGTGAAGGAAAATTTTAGTGGGATTTGAGGGAAACAGAATAGACTTGGTAAGAGGTTTAGTCAGAAAAATGAGGGAATACTGTCTTGTTCTTGGCTAAGCTATACCTGACCTGTGAATCAAAGGTTTTCATTTCAAGAGGTGTTTATCATGCATGATTTATTATCATCAGTAATGGTTCAGAATATGAAATGCCATCTGCATGGAAGGAAACCTTTATTGTATTTCAAGATCTTGAATTTCAAATACTATCACTAGTGATTACATTGAGTACTGCTCTTGTTATTATATGTAGTTGGGTTTGGATAAGAGGGTAATACAATCTGTACTTCTGGGAGGTAAAAGTTATATGCAGGCTCCAGGAACAAATGTTACAATAAAGAGCATTGCCTTTTTTTGTAACATAGAACAGGAAAGCCAGTATGAAACAATATGTATGATTAGGAGAAGCTGCTGTTACTGATTGCTTCTCAAAGGCAATCAGCAAAACTGTGTACGCAGTTACATGAATAGAAGGTGGTGTTTTCTTCAGATGCCTGTTACTCAGAGAGGGAGCTGAAATGTAGGACTCCTGCGTGATGGGAATGTCAGTGTTTTAGAAAAGGCTGCATTCCAAGTCTGGGTGGGAAACTACATTTTGGGGTTAAGTTTTCTGCCAAAGAAAAATCCTGAAAGTTCCAACTCTTCTCCATTCCCCAGATAAAATGGGAGTGGTGTGGTTATGTTTAGCAGGATTTAGCTGGTCCCTGAGTTGATCTCTAATTTCTGCAGAGGGTTTAGAGTGGTAGTTGCTGTGACTGTTCTCCAGGAACATTGGAAATGCTGGGAGCCCAGGGCTGCCCTGGATCTTGGGATCAACCAGATTCTCCCAGGGTTTCTGTGCTCCCCTGAGGGAGATCACACTCTAGCGAGGCTCTCAGTATTTCAGTTTTCAAGGCAAGTAGCTTTTGAGAGTTCGGTTCAAGCCAGGACTCTTCTAGTTTCCACACTTTCGGCTGATCAGGGCTGCATGGGAGGGAGCAGGGAAGCTGCAGAAGTCTGATGTCCCCTTGCCACATGACAGGCCTGTGTGGGTGAGGCAGGGCCTGTGCAGCTGGGCTCCCACACAGGCAGCCAGGTGAACAGGGAGAAAACTTGGCTGGATTCCCTCAAACTCCTGCCTCAGTCCTGGCAAAAATTCATCTCAACCAGCATGTGTCTGCAAATAGCTATATGTCAGCAAATCAGGATTTGCTGGTGAAACATTGCTTTGCTGAGAAATGACTTACCAGTTCCTAAAAGAGTTTCTTGAGGAATCTTGATATTGAAATATTGCTGTTTATCGTTTTTGCATGGAAAATCCCTGAGCAAGCTCTTGGGTTGCAATATACAAAGAAAAGATGAAAGAAAAAAAAGCTGAAAGAAAAAAAAGGGAATGGGGAGAGGACAGAGGAGAAAAAAGAAAATAATCTTACTGTAGCCCCGGTAAAGACAGTGCATGTTGTGAGAGGCACTCACAGTAAGAAAAACAAGTGTGACCATTCACAGCCAGCAGTGAGACAGGTACCGCTCCATTGACTATTTGGCTGCTCATTGCAGCATTCAGGCACTGCCCAAGAGGTAACTAGGATGTATCCAAACAGCCTTGGGTACTCAGTGGTGTTACTTTCATTGCAGTGTGCAGTTTGTGTTCGTCTAAAAGCTTGGTGCAGTTCTGTATTGCTTGTTCAGGAGTCATAGGCGTGCTTTTGAAACATTCACTTGCAGCCCTGTGTACAGGTGGTAATTATGTTTGAATTTCATAATGATTTTGCCATTTGTGGATGTCTCAGAAAGGACTTTTTTGTTTTCCTGACACTGAGATGCGTTGGTTGTGCCTTTCTGCGAACTCGTGTGATGTAACCTCTGGATAGGCTGAATCTGTCCTCTGATACAATACTGAGACTAAGCTCTCTGTTACCCTGGGTGACCACTCTCATGGTGGGAAGGGTAAAACTGATTGCTAGACTGGAGCCAGGGAAGGACTATTGTGCCAGGATAGACTGAAAGTGAATCTGGAAAAGGGGTTTCATCCCCCAGCACAGCGTGTGGTTTGCTTGCCAAGATTTATCCTGGTACCTCTAATGCACTGATTTGCTCTCAACACTGAGCACATCTGGCATTGTGCTACATCAGCATGAAAGTCTCCTGAGGATGGGGTTAGTGTAATCCAGCATTGGACTGGATTGGGATTTGCAAATTACAGAATGTAATGCTCCTTTCTGGGTTTAGTCCAGCAAACAAGAGGTGAATTTGCTTTGGTTATCTTTCAACATTTTTACTAGTTTTTAAAATGATGTGGTTTTATTTGAACTTTATGCAAGATTATGCATAATTCAATAACTCACAGGTTCTTGTCTGTTTTTTAAACAGCACACTGCTCATGCAACTCGATCTTCCCCTTGAAGACTGGTGGAAATGCTTTTATGATAAATAGTATTTATATGTTTGGGGTTTTTTTGTTATATCCACAAGCTTCAAATGTGCATGTTACTGTGTTGCCTCTTTGCCTTCTGTGCCATTCAGAGCAGGATAATTCTGACAAAGTCAGAGTCTATAAGGAGGGTGAGAGATCAGGCCTTTCGTATTTTATAAAGAATGATATAGCGTATATTTGAGTAGTAGCTGTGGCAAGAATTCAGTTTTTATTATTTTATGTTATGTAAATTATGCAAAAAAAAAAAAAGGATTGCTTAAAATTATTCAGAATTTAAGCTAAGGCTTAAAATAATTTTTATGTACTCAGCACGGATGGAAAATTAGGGTTTGTTCCTGCTGCTTTGAAGTTAATGGATATTTTGTGATTGACTTTTAATGAGAGTAGGATCCAACCCATAGTTATTAAACTGTAAGCCCTTTGTTGCCTGGTGACAATCAGATAACCTGCATTTCCCTCACAGAACAATTAATCTTGGTGAAAACAGAAAAGCACACCCCAAAAGTCTCACTGTACAATAAGATCAGCTCCATGTACATATGACTGTTAATGTAAATGGTCTTCACACAGAAATGGTTACCTTAATTACTTTGGTATCTCCAGAATCCAAAGTCAGAGCATCTTAATCCAGTATTTTTAGTAAGAAATAAACACTAAAATGCAAGTTTTATGTATCCCTAAAGCAGCAGAGAATAACATTAACCTGAATGAGAGGTGGCACTTCAGAGGTGCTATAAACTTTTTTACTCTCCAGAGTACAAGAATCATGGGTGATACAGCTGTGAATTATGTAGAACTTCATATAGGACCTGGAAGAACTGCTGCTAGGTTTTTTATTTGGTTGTTGTTGTTTTGGGGAATTTGTTTTTGTTTATTTTGTTGTCTTTTTTTCAAGGAGGGTTCATGTTTGCTGTGTGTTGTGCACCTGAAAGAATTAATCCAAATTAATACCAGAAGTGTATGACTATGACACATTATTTTCTAGCCTCCCTTTATGTCTAGCTCTAGCTCAGTGCAATAAATCACTCTAAATATTTTTTCTTCTTTAGTGAATTAATTCTTCAGCTGTTTGTAGCCTTGCCAGTCCTTTCTTACCTGTTACTAATCAAAATATAAATATGTCAGTCTTTCCTATTAAATGAATCCTTTTGCTCTCCCATGTTTTTTCTCAGTTTTCTTTTAACTCTTCTGCCTCATACTGTCCTTTCTGCTTCCTAAAAGCTAGAGGATGGTTTTTAGGCATCAGTCTTTTTGCTTCTGTAATTCATTTTTCCTTCTGTTACCTTTGCATTATGGAGACATTTGCTATTCATTTTCAGACGGTGGAAATAAAATATATGTGGAGAGCTACATAGAGAGGTAGACAGGTGCCTGTACAACGGTCAGCCAAGACACCTTGTTGCTTAAGTATCTTGCTCACTTCTGATCATGTACCTGTGCATCTTGAGGGCAGTGCAGACTGGCTGGCCTGTGAGATCTCCCATTCTGGTGCAAGATCTACCGCCACCAAAATGACTCCTTTTTGTACCTATGTATATTGCTCAATTTGGATGCTGTTAGGAGGCAAGTGGTTGTTCACCCTGGTGTAGCTATCTAATGTGTCAGTTTTGGTAAGGAAAGTGGCATATACCTCATTTCAGTCTTTAAATGCCTCATAAACCTATGAAGAACTGAAACAGATGTCTGTGCATCTGTCTGTACTCTTTTTGAGGTCTGTAGAGACTTTTAAAACTATTTGTTTTTGCTGGGTGACTCTGAGCACAATATGTTGAAAAATAGGAATTTTTCCAAAGGAATCAAAGAAATCTGGGTTTTGTGTTAGCTTTGATCGTGCCCATGTGAACCCATGTGAATGGGCCTCACAGGGGCCAGCAAACATTGCTACCTTCTCAGCAATGAGAAATCTTGTTCTCTGAGACAGTAGGTGTTTCAGCTGAACTGTAACTAAACTTGTGATACACCCATGTCAGACTTTGAAGATGAGTGTGGAAAGTCTCTGTTTGCTTTGGGGGAAGACAAAGCTGTGATTTGAGGCTATTCAGGATGCTCATCTAATCCATGGAATTTTTTTAAAGTCTTTATTTTCATTCATTAGTAGAGTTCATTTGTAACTAGTACTGAAGCTGGTAAGTGTGTGAAGCCTTAGGCCACAGCCACATCTGCCTGGATGGGGCCAGTTGTCTCATTAGCCATAGCCAGAGGAAAGAGAATTTCCCCTTGCTGGACCAGGAGCTTCCTTTCCTATTTCCTTGTGGAGAAGCAGCAATTCACTGAGGGAAAACCAAAGGTAGGCACTTCTCTGAGGCTTTTGCAAAGTGACACTCCTTAGAAAATGTGGATGTTTCTCTTACTCAAAGGATCTCCAGCTACTCATGAGAGTCCTTGGGTCTTTGTGAAATTTGCAAAATAGAAATTAAGCAGAAAGTTGAAGATTGGGAGCCTGAAATACCATCAAATATAAATATGGAAAGATTTATTCTTTATGGCTCTGATACAGGAAAACTCTTGTTCCTGACTTAAAGCATGTGGGACAAATCGTGCTTAGATTTAAACATATGTTTGAGCTTTTTCTTGGCTTTCACCCAACTAGTTCAGCAAGATACTGAGAGCTGATTATGGTTCTATAGAACTTTTTGTGTGTGACAGTGAGCCTGGATTTTAATGTCATAGTTGCCAGGACTTCATTCACAGTTTATATGTATTATTTAGGATTCTGGTAAAATCACTGTTGTTTTGAATGAGATATATATTAAAGATGTAACTTTCATAGATACATTCTTTTTTAATAAAACAACTTTATCCCATAGCTTAAATTATATACAGACATGATGAAAAGTTTGCAATGTTTGTAGCACAGATAAGCAATCTATTGAGTGAAAATTCTTGTTTTGTTTTGTAGAATAGATCAGAACACATGCATTTCACCAAAAGAAGCTACTGAGCAATTTTACAGCTTAAATGAGGTAAGCTTAACCAAAATTTGAAATATAATGTTACAAATTTTGAATTAAATGTTTGAGTCTGGTTAATTCTAAGGTCTTGGAGTAAAGTAATCAATTTAGAACCTTAGATTAGCTTTAAAATCATAGAATAATTCTAGAAATGTTTTTGGAGAAAAGCTATTATAACAAAATTGTTACAGTAGTTTTAAAGGCAAAAGCAAAAGATCTAAAAAATATTTTAAGCCAACTTCTGGCTGCTTTCTGCTTGTGCTCAATTCAATATTGACTGAGTGAAATGCCATCTTCCAAGACCATTTGACTTTTTCCTCATATTACAGCTCGAAAGTGCTCAGCTATCAATTCTGTTTTGTTTAAAAATAAGGAGTTCTCAAGGTTGCTACATCCTGCATAACTGAACTATGAACATAACAATGTAGTCTAAAAGGTGCTCTTGTAAGATGGGAGGAGGGGAGAGCTGGAGTGAAGATAGGCATTAAGGAAAGCCAAGTAACACCTTTACACTTGAAACAAGATCTGTTTTCACAGGGGTTATGCCAGGAATATGGTGTGACTAGAGCACAAAGGAGCTGTTTGTTTGATCATGTCAAACAGTGAATGAGCCTGGGCTAGATTCTCACAATCAGCAATTTACTGGAGGCCAAAATCAAGCTCTGCAGTTTTCCCACAAACAAGAGTATCTGCATCCTAGCATAGAGTATGCTTACACACTGCAAGGGAAATGAACAGTACTGAATTTAAACAAGCAGCAGACAATGTTTTTAAGTGTAGACCAAGATAACAGAACAACAGAAGCTGTGGAAACAAAAGAGTTTGGGTGAAGGGAAGTCCTTTCCTATCAAACCATGGAAAAGACAGCTTTGTTTCCATAATGAGGCAGAGAACATCTATGGCTATTAATAGATGCCTGATTTTCATTAGGGGAAAATCACAATGTGTCCTTTTAAAGGAATTCAGACTTAATCTTCTCCTTACAATGAATTATTTCCTAAGTGTTTGTGTCATGCAGCTCACTGTTGAAATTCTCAATGCTAACTAGGAGGGCACTTTCCATGACCAATACAAGTGAGTGTGCTCAGCCTCTGCCTAGCCATCTAAGGCTCTGAGAGAAATCATTAAGTTATTGTTTCTTTTGAGAAGCCTCATTGCAAAGAATCACCAAGGTTTCCACTTAAGAGCTTCCATTTAAAATTATTGCAAAGGATTCCTTAAAGGTTAAGATAAAATATATAGTAAATACGTTCAGCTTAAGAGACTAAGCCAGAAAATTATATCAGAAATTTAAATAAACTCCTAATATTTTATGGGGAATGAGCAAGGGCTACATTCTGGCACTTTTGCAAAATCCTAGATTCTCTTGTGTCTGCAAAACCATGTAAAACCATGTATCATAAGAAAATAAATTCCCTTTTTGGATTAGAGAAGGTGGTGTCTCTTTTCACTGTTCAGCCATGATACCAATCCAGGGCATATCTTGTACCATCTTACTGTCACATGTTTGTTCCCCATAAAGGAAGTTCTGAATTGAAAATGTCATATGCCTTAAGACACAAATATTGCCATAGCAGATACTGCAGACATTTATTGATGTTCACATAAAATATGCCTATCTTATTTTAACCTGAACTCTCAGATTAAAAAGGAGGGAGATGCTTTTACATATTGCTGTTCTAATGTGACATAGAAAAGCATTAATTTCCTTGGAGTGAAGAAATTTAATAGCTTGATATTTGCTCAGTTTCTTTTCTATATGAATAACTTCAAAGGCCATTAAATTCTGAAAGCTTGGATTATTCTCCTTCTCTGCCTCAGCTGATTTCATAAATCCAGTAAATCCATCAATAAACTGGATATATTAGAACAGCTGCCTTCCTGACCTGGAGGGGCAGGAACAGGGGCAGGGCGCAGGCATCCTTACCATTCAGAAACACTCTGTGCAGGGCAAGGTAGTTTCAGTTTATGCAGAAAGCACCAAGTCTGGCCTCTACTTCACCTCCCTTTTCCCTGTCAGCATCCAGACTGAGACTGGACAGGGTCCATGGGTGGGGCAGGCCTGTTTCCTTTTTCCTCAGTTCTTAAATTTACCAAACTTTAGCATGTTCACAAGGATGAAACAAAAGATGCTGATAATAGTGTTTTATCAGGAAAAGAAGGTATTTCTAAGAGCAGTGGCTGTTACATGCTGCCGATCCTGCAGGACTCCATGCACGGACCTCCAGCTGGAGAAAAGTTACCGATGCCACCTGCTGAGAAAAAGGTTATAAGCTCTTTCAGGGGACTCAGTCATCACCACGGCACTTTGGTGATCATTTGGGAGTATTTGTTCATTCAGTGTCCCATTCTGCAGAAGGATTTTGCAGTGTGAGTGTAGGTGTAGTGTATTTATCTCTACATGTAAGAGGTTATTTGTCATCTCAATAATTTCTTGCCCTAAGCCTCCAGATCTTTATTTTCAGTAATCATGAATGGAAAGAGAGACTGTCAGTGGGATATATTTTACAGGCTTACTTGTTTGTAAAGGTGGTTTCTTTATTACAGGCTGAGCTTCCTCTGCAAATGGCAATCTGTTTCTACTGCGTTTTGTCCAGCAGGCAAGAGTATGATACTTTAATGACTGTCTTTTCTTAAAGCATTAGGAAAAATAACAAACATGAGAGAAGTACCACACTGTCTCTCTTTCTGTTTTCCTTGGACTTCCTGTAAATGTCTTTATTTTTTCATTATCTTTGATCTGGAATAATGCCAGATGTCTTTCTTCCTCTAGTGGAATTGCCATAGCTCAGGTTCTTTGATTTGTCAGTTGCTTTAAGAGGACATAATAAGAGATAGAAATCTTTGTCCAAGAGAATTGTAATTGCTGCTCCTACAGACTTGCAAAACACTAGTCTTAAGAGGCAACAATATGGTTATTTTTCCAAAGAAACTTAAAGATACTTTAAAAATATTAATCTGTCCTTTCATTGGCATTAGCATGGATCAGGGATTACTGCATCAGGAACAGTAGCTGGAATGAGCACCAAATCTGAAGTATTTGAGCTGAGATCATTAGCTGATTTAACACGCCAAAGCTTAAAAAAATTCTGTGATACTGGTTTTCCATGTAAGAGCTTACTAAAACGTATGATGGCGCTCAACATGACCTAACATTTCCCTCTATGTATTTTAGCTCTTTCTATTTGTTTCTAACATGTTTTGAACTTTTAAAATGGCCAAGAGCAGAGATGGCCCCAGGGATAGGCCTGGACCATGGGAGACCTTTGAGCAGCATGTGCACAGGCTGGTTCATCTCCAGATGAGATGTATTGCTGAGTGTGTGCAGTGCAGAGGAGTGCACATCCCCACTGCTGTGGTAGGATGCCTGCAGTCACATTGGGCTGTACACATACAGGAAAGCACTGGAGAATTAGAGGGAAGTTGGAAGTGGTCAGTAAGATTTCAGATTAACTTGGAAGGCTTGAGAAGATGAAGACAAGGCTCAGACTTGATTTTGTTCTCTTCTTGCCTTCCTTTTGCTGGCAGTTGGTAGCATGTTGTCCTGCCCCAAGAGAGAGGACCAGCTGCCAGTTGCTGGTACCTGGCCCTGTCCCCTCCCAGAGCACCTTGCTACTCTGCTTGGGCTGCAGTCGCAGAAACAGGGGACTGCACTGCTCCAAGGCTGTGAGGATCCAGCCTGGTTGCTGTGACATTGCCAGTTCTTCAGGAACTCTCTGAGAAGGGCAGGACAGCACATGCAGCAAGGTCAACCCTGACATTTACTAGGATGCTCCTGTTGTCCAGGAGTTGGTGATCCTGGGCAACTTTTTGCTTGGCCTTTGCTTAAAGCTGTATCTCTTTACATGTGTTCTCATAAACATGTGGTAGTGTTTCATGTATAGTGTGCTGTAGCAGGACTGTAGTAATCAGCTGTGTTTTAGAAGTAAGAGGAGGTTGATGGCACACTCCAGATTTATCATCTCCCTGGTAACATCAAAATGATCAAAGCTACTTACTCTTTTTCTCCCTACATCAAATCTCTGTCAAGGGTACATTCATTAAATCACTGTATTTATATTATTATTATGTTATGAATTTTTTTAGGATTTGACAGTGACTGGAAATTTGTTACCCACCCACCTTCCCAAGATGGGTGAAAAATATAATTTAAGCAACTGAATGTAAAGCAGCTGGGGAATTAGAGCATAAGCACTGCCAAAATACAGCATGTAACAATGTAGTGTGTGTGAATGCTTTTATACTGAGTTTGCCATAAATGTTAATGTATCACAAGAAACAGTAATGCAAAGCAAATGTATTTTCTTTATATGGGATTTTATTTGTCAAATGCTTGAAGTATCAGTCTGTAAGGGCTAGGTATATTTGATAGTTATTTGCCTGTGTTCACCCTGTTGGTACGTTCTTCTGGTATGTTTGCCTATGTTTTCCTTACTTGCCCTTGGCAGTTCTTGGGTTAATGTCCTCACTGGTCTGTAACTGGTATACTGATCTCTTGCTAGATAACATTAATCACTGTAAAACATGGTCTGCTGTGATGATTCCACAGCCATTCATTTAGGTCTAGCTGGGGTGAGAGGCAATGGAAAATGAGACCTATCATGTCATGGAAACTCTTCTCAAAACAGTGCCATGGGCACAATTCAAGTCAACACCCTTCCCTTTGACAATAAAAATTTACTGCCACTTGAAAGCTATTGAAGGTGAGATGGTTTCCATCATTCTGTTTCTTAATTAAAGAAAGCTCTGTAGAGGATTAAAGAAGATTTTGAAAGTGCCTTGTAAAAAGGCATTTAAGTGCTTAAATTAATGGTAAGATGTCTACTAAATACTTCAAAAGCAGGAAGCCAGGTAGGGTGTCACTGGGACTGGTGGCTGGCTGACATGTAAAATGAGCGCTAAGGTGACAGGGCTGTAGATATAGAGTGAATTCCTTGTATTGGTCCTCACTGATAAAGCCCAAGCTGGGGACATCTGCACACCTGAGATGCTCTTTCTAGAAGACGGGTCAAAAGAGCCAGAGCAGATTGAAGTAATATGTGTAAAATGGACTGAAGAGTGTCAGTAAGTGACAAGGAAAAGATGCCAGACGTTCAAGGGTCCTGGAGAAACAGGTGAGAAGATAAGGTACTGCTGGTCATGGGCAAAATATCTTTACAAATGGCAGCTGAGCCAATGGCTGGTAGGCTGTTAATGCAATATGTACCTGGGAATAGTAAAAGTGTCTTCTGCCTCTAATTGTGAGTACAGCTCTCTCATACCACATTTTTAAATAATAGTATTACATGTAGGCATTTTATTATTAATAAGTACTTGATTTTGCAATCACTTCTTTCCCAGTATTATAGGATGAGTTGTCAAAATTTATCTTGACAACAGATGAGAAGAACTTAATTCTAAAATACATCTATAACTCAAGCCATTTCTTTGCTCACATGCCTCTAATACCATGTTGCTTCTGATAGGAATGGCCAGAGCTCCTGTTTGTTCTGGGACAAGGAGGAGGAATATATTCCCAGATTTCCTTTTTGACCTAAACTGAAGCCAAAGTCCAAATGTTTGATTGTAACCTAATCTGTTTTGTGGAATGGGATATGGATATTGAAACATTCCTGATAGCACATAGAGGGCTGCAGGATGTAGTTAAGGTATCTCCTAGGAAGAGCTACTTTCTGCTCCCTTTTCACTGCTTGAATTCTATAAAAACAATGAAAGGATTAGGTCTGAAATCTTCCTTGCTGTCTCTGCCAAATTAGTTTCCTTTTTATTATTTTTCTTTTAACCTAAAACCGCTGGCATCCTTGGAGTTATACAAGGGCTGTATTGCAATAAAAATAATGCAAAGGCATATTAAAGTACTTAGGACACAGGTGATATATTGTTACACAAAGGAAATTATTCCTGTATATAAACTATTATTTCATTGAATGAATCAATAAATTGGTTTCAGGTCTTTGTCAGAGTGGGAAAAGGAGCTTGTCAGAGTGTAGACTTGAGGGATTATTTTCCTTTTCAACTCAGGCATTTGTTGTTGTTGGGTTTTTGTTCATTTGTTTTCTGGAAGTGGCTCTTCACTAAAATATACCATTTGAATGACTTCACATTTTACATAAAATTCAAGGTGTGCAAGCTGTGTGATTGTTAAGTCAGCCTTCCTTGTGTGATTTTATGTAGCAAGTTGTATTTCCCTGAACAGAGGGGAACTGACTGTGTGGGTTGTTGGTAGTGACTCATTTTGCCTGGTCAGATAGTGATTAGGGCTTTCACAGCACTTACATCACAGCAAGATGCTTGTGTCAGATTGTACAGCTGAATGTTGCATGCAGCCTTAGAGATTAAAATGAGAAATGGACCATGCATGACACAGTAGCTGGAAGTGATGTTAGACATAGCTAGCCTTGTCCTCACTGATTTGTCTGCAGCAAGTGACAGTGATCTGTTAATCTTACTTTTGCAGAGGGAAGGAAATGATCTGGTTGCCCTGTAGAAGCAGCAGCAGCCTACACAAAAGCTCTGTCTACATAAAGATGTTTAAAAAAGCCAACAAAAAAAATACCTCTTCCAAGAATCCCATGAGGGAGCGTGTTGTCAGTAACTCTTTGTTCACTGCTGCATCCTGCACAATAGGCTGGGGAGGGAGATTTTTTTTTTTTTTATGAATGGTAAATGGGGAGGGACATAATGTCATCAGATCGTGATGTCAGCCCAATGAATGAAATGCTTTCTTAATATATTGCTTCAGGACCAAGAAAAGGGACACCATCTCAGTTTGGCTTCCTAGAATAAATTGTCCTTTGCTAACAAAGTCGTCTTTCCCACGTGTCATGAATAATCCCTGTGAATTGCGATTTAAATAACCAGAAGTCAGGAAACTCGTGGAATCGTGCATGTTTGTTCTCTCGCAGAGCTGCTAGTGGAACACCCCTCTGCAGGCACTGCTAATGGGCTCAGTCAGTTGAAGAGCTACCGCTGCATTCTGTTGTTCTCTATCTAGCCCAATGTTCTGCTTTTGTCTGCAGAATTCTTTGTTGAAGCTACAAGCCCTTGAAACCGATCTGTGCTCTGCATTTCTGCCAACCCAGGAAGAAACTCCTCAGCTGCCAGCACCCAAGGATCCATCCCCTTCATCAGTCCAAACCAGTGGCCAAGCTGATGGGGCCAGTTGTGGAGGTAAGCGATTGTGTCATGATGTGTTCTCATTTGCAATTATAAAAAAGCCTTTTGACTTGCAGTTGAATGTCAGATGTGCAGTCCTCTGCGAAACAGTGCACAGCTAATGCAAATGCTATGGAATGTAAAGAGGGGTGATAACTGTTTAAAGAATGAAAATTAATGGTTATAACCTTCTGTTTTCCTGAGAGGGGATCTTGCTTTTTAGAAAAGTTTTAAGAATCCCAATTCTTTTCAGTTTTAATTTGTTGTTGTTGTTCAAGTGAATTTGTGCTCTTTCCTTCCTATGTCTCTATTGTGTGAGATCACCTGCCATATCGTGTAATTCTATCTTTGTCATTCTTTTTGTCAGAGCAATATCACTTCATTTCTCCTATTATTGATTTTAATTTAATGCATCAGCAGAGAGATAGCGAAGGTGAGTTTTACAGCATGTGGATTTTAATAATTCATGAACTTGTATTATTACCCATCTGGGCAAACTGTGGTGTGTTCTCTTT